AGATCTACGACTGAGTGAGTGAGTTAGTGTGTTTCCCTACAATCCTAACGCACACATTGCACAAACCCGTACATACTTACCCGTACCCAGCTAGTGCTTGTGTATCAGTTCATTGGTTTGGTTGGGCGCAATCATCTGTACTGCATGCTTGCAGTTTATACTGCTCGCATTTGTTGTTGGCTCAGTTCGTTTCGTTTCGGAAAATGAGAACAGCAGCGGTTATATTGTGTAATCTGCAGTGCAATGTTAAATTACGTATGCTGTCATAAAATGAATTTTCTCGATTTTACTTACTCTTGCCGTTCGTTCCATTGCCATTGCCACTGCCACTATCGTTGTCATTGTCGGTGTTGTTGTTATTGTTGTTGTTGTTCTTGTTGTTGTTGTCATTGTAGTTTCGTTCATTGCTTTTTTACTGTTGTTGCTTTCACTGGAGTTGTAGTTGTAGTTGTTATTGTTGTTTTAGTTTAGTTATGAGGCCATTAGCCTTCATTTTACTGTCTGATAATATTGGATTTGTATGTGGTTGCCACCTAACTTTTGGCGCATGCGTTTAGGAAATTGCTTTTTGTAAATGATTCTATGCATAAATACTATTGTATCTATCGTATGTGTGTGTGTCTGTGTGTTGAGTTCGATGAGTATTTTAATAACACTGCACTGCAATGCTGAAGTCTGTTGCAAAATATTTGTTGATTAATCTGCACCGACATGCAATGACCGCGAAGTAATACTTTTTACAGAGGGTTATATATGAATTATTAATGGCTTGTGCAGTTGATTCTCGAGGTTAAAGGGAAATGTTTATGGGATCACACGTCTAGGTCATTTACAAAACACAAGGCTTCTGTCAATGTTAGTATGGAGATTTACATTGAAATTGATGTGAAGCATATGACAATGAAACTAATGGATTGAATTAATATAATCTATATGTAATCTTAATAAATTATATTGTAATTTATTAGTAATTGTAATATAATTAGCGTCACTCAACAAATAATTTTTCAACTAATAACTTCTTTACTAATAATAATTTACTAATAAATAAATTTAATAGAATTAAATTTTATTCCGTTAAAAATTGGTAAAAAATTCTGAAAGGTTTTTGAATAAAGTTACTCATAACAACCCGTTACCTGGTTTAGACCTGACGTATCGTATTCCTCAAGGCGCCTCTGTTCCAATCTTTACTATTTTCGTACATCAAATGCAATTACTCGTTCCTCAATTTGGATTATCCACGAAAGACCCGGTCTACCTACCTTTCTAAAATAGGTATACAAATTGGACGAAATTCAAATATTTGTACTAGGATTTTCAAATACCTTAATTGAACAAAAAATTTCACTTGTTATTTAAAATCATTATTTATTATTTATTTATTAATATGTAATTAATTTAACTAATAATTCATTAACCACAACGTTCTTTTAATATAAAACAAGGAGCGTACGTTTCTTCCAAAAGATACACATGTTACGAATTAGATTATATAAATATATTAAACAAAAATCAACTACATATAACATCCATCAATGCATTTATATATATTAGTAGTAAAATAATTGCATAAAAGTGCTTTGTTTTAGCATGTAAGTGCTATATCAAGCACAAAAACCTAAAAAATTGAGAATTTGTTTCGACCTCATTGGTAAGAAATAGAAAAAAAACACATAACTGTATGCAAAAACTGGACGAAAGTAAAATTTTTATATGAGGATTTTCAAATATCTGAATGGAACAGAAGATTGTAATTATTATTATTTGTAATTATTAATCATTATAATAATAATTTATTTATTTGGTTAATCATTATAATAGCAACTAATTGAATTAATTAAACATTGGCCGCAATAACGTGTCTGCAATATAAAACTAGGGGCCTTCATTTTATTCGACTGCTCCAGATTCTACAAAATATCTTATATGAACATATTTAAAAAAATCAATAATATATGATATTCATTAATCCATTTGTACTTATTAGTAGAAGAATATACATGAAAGTGGTTTTTTCAACATGCAAGTGTATCGTATAAACAAAATTATTAACTAAAAAAATAAAAAATATGGGTTCCAGTCAAAAAATTCGTATAGTTAATGGTTCACATTATTTTTAGTATTACTGTCATTCTCTAAATAAACTTGCGGATTTATCTGCCTATAAAAACTTTAGAGACCGTTCATTTATAGGTGGAGCTAGTTCTAGCAATCAAAATAGAACTCAGGAGCTTAGAAAAGAATATAATCATAAAATTTTTGGTATTAATGGCCCACACTATTTTTTTTAAATTTTATTATTTCTGGCACAATATTTAAAAACCTGAGTTTTTCTCTACTCATCAAAATTTTGGAGACACTTCCTTTATAGTTTATAATGGAACTTAGGAGATCGGAAAACAATATGATCAGAGTGGTGTCCACTCTTGCATGTCTCTAGTCTAGTCCAGTATGATTAACGATATATTAGTTTCGATACAACTTCCTCATTGGAAAGAAGCGAAGCCCATCTAACGTCTGCTGTTCTTTAAGTCTAAACTGCATATTGAATGAAAGTAAATA